AAAAAAAAAGAGGGGGAGGGGGGGAGACAAACACACACACACATACAAAAAAGAAAAAAAAAGAAACAGACCTAATTCTTATCTTTCTACTGAGAAGCTTAGTTTTTGTCCTTCAAGTACATCAAGATAAATCAGCATGGAAGAATTTATAATGACAAAAAAACAAAGCAAAGATATTGTCACTGCAGTAAGATGTAAAACAATTTACAATAGGATCATGAGCAGTAGCTGTTAAAACATTAATGATCTTTACATATTCTACTGGTTTTCATTACAGGAGCCTAATTTGGCTGTGTAGCCCAATAGGAAGGGAGTACCAAAAAGAGGATTTAAAAGCCTGAAAAACAGAGATGTGATCACCTTCTCAAACCTTCAAAAAAAAGTTTATTTTTCTACACTCTGTAAGTCAGGGCTTTTTTTTTCTTCTTCTTCCTCCTTCAACTGCTAGCATACTGCATGCGTTTTGATCTATAGTAATGATCACATCTTTATAACACAGAAAATTAAACATAAATTGTGAATAGCTTCTTTTGCAACATGCTACCTAAAAATGTGAGCTGTTCCAGTACCAAGCAAAATGCAAAGTGTTAAGATGAAAAATCTGTAGCACTTCTGAGCATTCATATTTTTACTGATTCATAGATTTTTAAGGCCAAAAGAGAACATTAAGATCTGTTATGTGACCTCCCCGATAACACAGGCCAGAGAATTCTATCTAGAGATTCCTGTATTTAACTCAATAAATCCACAGATGAGTTAGAACACATTTTTTAAGAGAGACAGGCAATCCCGGTATAAAGACTCCATATGATGGAGTATTTGCCACTTCCCCTGATAAACTAGGCCAATCCTGAATTACCATGAGTGTTAAAAATATGTCACACTTCCCACTTCAATCCTTCAGCTGCAAGCTTCTCCATTTTTTTAAGCCTACAGTAAAGAACTCACCGATACCACACATCACCTCTGTGCAGGAATTACTATGTTCAAGTCCTCCTCCCTGAAGAATTAAGTAAAAGGAAGGTGTCAGCCTAGCTTGCTCGGTGTCATGCCTGGATTGCCTGGCAATCCTGTGATCTCACTACCCGTTTTCAGAGTTTGTAAATGTGAAATTAATTCTACCAGCACTGTGTCAGAGGACCACCACAGTCTGAGAGAAGCAGGACCAATGTAGCAGGAATATTAATACATTATGCCACAAAGAGTAAGAAGCACGTTAAGGAGAAGACAGAAAATGTTGAAGTTTGGGCTGGCAATAAAACTACAGTAAATCTCGGTGCAGTTCACTTTCCAGTCATTCTTCATTTTCATAGTCTTTTAATGGGACTACTGTAGAATTCCCACTCAATTCTAAATGTCAGGAATGTTTGTTAAATAGTTCCTGTTCAAAAAGGTCACAACACAATCTATTGTGTCTTAAAAGATTTACCAGCTTGAATTTTATTTTTATCTGTTCATTTTTACCACTAGATGGTGCAACACAGTAACACAGGTTATGCAGAAGGTGAGAGAATAGAAAAGTTCCTGAAAAATGTACATATTTACATCATCATCTGTTTTCTATTTTGTAGCTCTACATTAAAAAAAAAAAAAACAAAGCAATTTCTTTTTAATTTGGTTAGTTATCAAAATAATATATTTCCAAAGCAATGAAGAAAGTATACGTCTTATTTAGATAACAGGTATTCAGAACATTCAGATAATAACACAGATAATTGAATTCTATTCCATACTGACACAGTGCATCTTTAAAATGAAGGGAAAAATATCAGTGCAGGATAGAAAATTATCACGTTTAAAAAAACTGCAAGAAAAGCTACTTTCCTATTTGTAGAAATGTGCGCATAAATGTTGCATTAGGCCTCCAATTCACGGTTAGATACACCTCAAACTACTGCTGCATGCACTTCTTGAGCACTAATGTTTCTCTTGGCTATAAATTCAGTTACGCGTTTCATGAGAACCTACTTCCAGAAAATGTGCCCAACTTACACGTATATTCCTATTTAAACGTAGAACTACTGAGGTCTGTAAAAAACAAGTAAACCTCTGTATTTTCTGTATGTTGGCATTCAAATGAATAGTTCAGGTGAGCACTATGAGTTACACGATCCCACCTACTGCAAGTAAGTTTTCAAACATTAGAATAATAATGAAACAAGTAGTGGCAATAAAATCAAGAAAATTCAGTGAAAAAAAAAAAAAAAAGGTCAAGCAGAAGGAATCTGGGAGATTCATCTTCTGGCTTATTAAGAATAATCTGTCACACAGAGCAGCTTTGTAATGTAATTACAGGCAGGCAATGGGAAGTCCCTACTGGCAGAGGAACTTAATGCTAGGTGCTCCTTGTACGAATTTGGCAGTGGCAGCGGCTTCCCAGGCTAATGGAGAAAAGGGGAATACTTGGAGAGTAAAGTGGGAAATATTTTAGAAGAGAATAAGGGACCTTTCACCTAGGTATTCTGAAGTATGAAGAGCTTTGTTGTGTTTGAAGACTGAAAACATACGTTTAGTGCAATTTCAAAAAGCACTCTGTGAGATAAGGTTAAGAACACTTACAATCCTGTTTATGGGACAAATGAGAATATTTTACCCCTTTCTCTTGGACTCTAGTCACTTTTGTCCAGATGATCCCTAAATTTTTTCACCATTCTGAAGTAAGTAAATAAAGGTTTTCTTTCTTTCCCTGGCATCTGCCTTCCAGATGTTCAGGCAGGAGTCCCTGGTAGGATTTTGCATTTGAATGCCTAAGAATGTATTTGCTGTAAGTGTTATAAATCTGCCGGAGAAGGATCAGTATCAACTTAAATATTTTGCTTCCGAAAAACCTCCAGAATCATTCATCCAAGCCACTGTATCTTAGTAAAGAACCTGCCAAGACAAAAAAATGTCATAACCATTTTTAAGGCCTCAAAATTTTCTCTTAAGAAATTTAAAGGCAAAGAACTCTCCTATTGTCAGCCAATATATTTTCAGTAACAGAACTGCCATTTGCATCTTGCATTTAAAAAAGCTAAAAATGGGCATATTGAAATCAAGTGCTGTACCATTTGGATTTCACAGAAACCGCCGCCTTGTATATTAAAGTGCTTTTCTGGGGATTTGTTTACAAAGTCCTTCATTCGTGAGTCTTCTGATCATATTCAGACTGTTCTGATCCATGTGATCGCAAGAATCATTGTTTGAGAAGACTCCGAGTGCAGGATCTAATGTTTTTGAAGGAGCAGCAGTACATATTTGAATCCTTCTCAACCCCGGGACAGACACAAGATTTGCCTTCCTCACTGGAAAAGAAAAAAAGGGGAGAGGGAAGAGGGGAGAGGGGACTATTTTCTTGAGCTTGCTAACCTGAGCTTATTGTAAGTATTTCATTAACCTTCTAACCTACAAGATAAACATTAAAATATATAATACAGTTACTTGAAGGGATCTGTAACTAAATATATAACGCTGATATTCTTTTGAGACTTTTTGCTGGCTATCATTTTCTGCAGCTAATCCACCAGCTGCTGCAACACCACTGCATTAGCCGATCCTTTATAAAAAGCTAAAGCTATTTGGGAAAAAAAGGTTGATTCGCATAGCTCCCCTAATTAGCAGGTCTAATGTGCAAATTATTAAGTACCTTTTTCAACTTCTGGTGAATGCACTTTGACAATAGTTTAATGGGATCTAAAAGCACATTACAGGATTGGAATCAATATACTGATAATAGAAATTCTACTTTCTACTACTGACAGGCAACAGTGCCCCTTCTGAATGTGTCTTTCATTGCGCCTAATGCTTTTGTGCCACAATTGCTGGATGGACACTGCCATGAGGATAGCTATTTACAATGGTAGATTTATGATGCATTTATTGGGCACTAATTTATTAGACACTAAAGTGGTTGTTTAGCTGAAAACTAGAGATAATGTACATTTGACATAAAGAGCGCAAAGCTCTTTTCCCAAAGTGAATTAGCTTTACCTTGACACAATTAATTACTATGCAGCGGTTACATGAGTCAAATACCAGACAAAAGGTATTTATTTATATGAGGTTTATTAAGATGTGGAAGTGAAACATAACAAGCAACTTGCTGCATTCAAATACAAAAGACGATTAAAGAATCAACTAGTTCTGCTGAACTACACCAAAATGAAGTCTCATTAAAAGGCGGTTTATGCTTCAAGGGTATAACGCTCCCTCTCCAAGGATAAGCACAGTAATATAGCATAAGAACATTCCATTTAACTTATATTTAATTTAGTTACTCAGAAGCTCAGTATTATAGTTAACCTTCCTTTTAAAGTTATGACAAATAATTAATAATCAAATATCTTGATACTAGTAGCCACAGCCCTCAGAATTTTAACAAACGAATTAGACTTCTTGGCAAGAACGCACTCGGTACAAGCTCTTCGTAGCAGTCGGTACAGCTGGCAACATCCCTGTCTTGGACCTCCTGGTGTGCCATTTCTGAATTATTTCTCTTTTCTATCTCTTTCTACCCTATTGTTGAGCTAGCTTCTAACTTCTTTGCATAACCCAATTTTTAAGGACACATATACTAGACATACGTAGTACGGAAACAACAGCCTCTCCAGAAGACAATACTAGTTTCATTTTCAACTAAACCGCATTTGCGTTGCCTATGCTCAATAACACCATTACTTGAAAAGCATTTCAGTGAAGGGGTCTGGAATACAAAGAGCGGATTTTTTTCCCCTCAAAACACCAGGTTATATTAGAAAATGCCAACCTCTGTGCTTGGCAGCCTAGTAACCCAATACACGTGCGCTACAGAACTCAACTTGGTGATCAAACAATTACTCTCCGAACGTGCCACAATAAAACACTTGCTCTATAACTAAGAAAATGCTTTCCTATGCATCCTTATTACATGCCTTTATCATCTTTTTTTTTTTTTTTTTTGGTATTTTTCTAAAAACAGTACCACTCAGAGGTTTTTATATAGTGAGTGGAACCCAGGAAAAAAATGGCATCTGGCTTATGTTTTACATGAACCATTATTTATGTTAGGTAATTGCTGACCTTCTCCCCCTTAAGTATGATTTATGAACCCAAAATTTGAGGTTACTATTTTAAATTGCAACAAAATCCAGATTTTAGGATCTTCCCAAATGACAGGAAATGGATGATGGAAGAGTAAAGATAAAGTTTGAGCTTGTTGCTGTTAAATAGAAGTCTTAGGCATCCAACTTGCCATGATTTAAGCAGCTGTAAAAGAGCTCGATGTAACAATTTCCAGGACCAGCTACTGCTTCTCAGCAGTGCTGCCTCCTCAGCTAGAGTGTGCATAGTCCCAGGCTTCCCTCCCCAGGAGGGACACTGGAGAGAACTGTTCACTCCCTTTCATAACCTGCACTCCTTCCGTAAGAAATCAGGACTGATTCACGATGCTGCTGCACATCACAACATTGTCAGGTCTATTTTTTTGACCGAAGTTGTGAGTAATGGAAAGGAAACGAGAGACAACTCCTGAACAATGCTTCGGGCCCCACGTTCTGCTGACAAGAACAATCCCCTGACACGCACTAGCTCTGGAGCAGCACTTTGAAAGAAAGATAGGTAAGGAATTAAATACCATCCTGCACAGCCTTCCTACAGCTGCAAACGGATTTCTGCTTCTGTTCTCACTTCTGCTATCCACAACAGGACAACAATGAACTGAAAGAGAAACAACTCCGTTGCCAACTCTCCCTTCTTAGAGAAGCCCAGAAACAGCACTCGCTGAAGTGAGCGGCTCAAAAAATGAGCCTAGGAGTGACTCGACTTTCACTAATATCTCAGGTAAACACACTTCATCGGATATCGACGCCCATCCTCACAGATGAGAAAGGGACAACAGAGGGAAAATAAATATGCTCTGATCCTTCCAGCAGCCTGGTGGTTTTGTGCGAGCTTCACGTTTGTCACGCACCTAACGTATTCAGCCTGCAACCCGACAAGCAAGGCGCAAGATCATCCCCTTGGTAAGAAGCCCTACAGCCTCTCTGCTCCCAAAGGCAGCGTCTCCACCACCTTCGCTACGTTGAACGTAAATCCAATCTCTTACTGGTCTGATGAATCCTAACATACATGCCGGTGGGTAAAAGAAGGATGTAGGAGAGAGACTGACAAAAGACATTTGAAAACAAAGCAGCTATTGAAGGAGAGTTGGGGTTTTTTTTTGCTTTTTTAAGAAAGCAGAGAAGAAAAGGTGCGAGTGAAACGGAAGAAAAGAAGAAGAAAATATAGGAAAAATGTCACAGGGAAAAAATATATAGAAACATACCTACAGGCACATACACACACGCACTTCTACATGTGCATGCATGCACACACAGGAAAAAAGGAGGCAACAGAGCAAAGGCTGGGAGGGAATTAAAAAATTAAGATTTTTTTCTTTTAAAATACTGACAGAATTAAGACTCTAAAAATGACTAATAAACATTAAAATCGAATGTAACAGGCAATAAGAACTACACGATTTTTATTCCTCAGAAATGAGAGGGAGTGCAACAACAAACTTTAGCTAAGAAGGTTAACTCTATGAGCACATACAGGCATACTTTTCAAGCCCTGGTGATTAATTCTCTATTACGAGCACAAGTGATCTTTACCATCCACAACAGAGCAGATAAAACCTATGAGCAAGTTCTGTAGCGTAAAGCTGCCATAAAAGCTCATACTGTAAGGACCTAAATAACTGCCTCAACTTTGAGAAGCACTGAACACCAGTTTCTCCCCTCTGACCCAAATGGCAGCTCAGCCCCTGCAAAAAATGCGCCCTTTTTTGGCTGTTGCTTTTTAAGGTCTAAGTTCAGGACCTCAAGCTTGAAAATTCAGAGTACAGTAACAGCTAAAGGAGACAGCGTACAGCTCGTGACAACTCGGATTCCAAAAAACAGCATACAACAGAAATTCTGTAGCTTACATACCAGCTAACTTCTGCAATTATTTGAAGTGCAATCAAAGAAACAATAACACTTGTGTCTTATCACTTTCACATTCAAAAATTAATTAATAAGGATACTAATGATTCGCCAGTCAAACGTACGAGAAAACAAACGCCAAAGCACCACTCTTACCTGTGCTTCCCCAAGGTCATTATTTACCACAGTGAAGTTCAGTCCAAGTTCTTCCACATCCCCTTCATAGCTCTTGAGAAAAAGCAAATTCTTGTACATTTCTGGATCTAATGAAGCTAAATGATGAATGTCAACATCAGCACTTGTCCCCAGTAACTTTGAGAGGAAAAAACTAGCAAACGGTAGCTCCACCAGCATATTTTCATACAGAGCCTAAAAACCAAAATGATTTACAAAAAATTAGATTTTTATTGTAGCATCACATACAAATTCTGAAAGCTGTTGTCCGTTTCTTAACTTTCGGGTAACTGCTCTTTAACTTACTGCCTGAACAGGATCTTGTGGTATGACAATATCCCACATGCTGCATCAGTTTAAAAATGCTTAATTGAAGCTTGAAATTTGAATGTCCTTTTTAAATACTAAGCTTGAACATTTAAAAATTAATTATGTGGTGATTTAAAAGGTAAGGTCACAGCTTATCTGTCCTTAACCTTCTTGTCCAAACTGTTAGATCAAACAGAGAGGGTATCTACTGCATATATTATTTGTAAGAAAAAATTAAGTTTCTTAAAAGACAATGCAACTGTATCAAGAACGTCTTCCAAAAAGTTATCATCTCTTCCTCCATTCCCCAAACCATCTGGTTCTTCACAAGCAAGATTACTCCATTTATAAATTGCTGCATGTAAAACAAATACAGTTTGACCCTGAAAAATAACCACGTACAAACAGTATTCTTTAAAAAGCATTTTTAAAAACTGTGTAAAAAAGTATTTTTCTTCATGAATTGACAGGTACTATTTCACTTGCATGTTATACAGATACATCATTGCGTACTTTGGCAAACAATACACTACTTCTGTTTATTCCCTCTAAAATCAATCAATAGGGCAAAGAGAAAAGACAGCTGAATTCTCCTACTTATTGGTATCGTCAAAGAATATCCTAATTTTCCAAGTCCAGGGCCTCTCAGAAACATCTATAGCATACGTTCAATCTGCACGTGCCTGACACGGTTACCGTTGCCAAAAGACCAACGAATCAAAAATAAGCCTGGTCTAAATCGGCATAATGCAAAAGTGTATTTCTACCATAAACTAAAGATCTGCTCAGGAATTTTCAAAAACGCACAAAGCCCCAACAATACCATTTTCAGTTGGTCTAATTTACGGTTGCATTTCAATGTAATGCAAAGCAACTTTCCACATAATCATCAACAACTTCCGGACCAAAAGCAAGTACTTATCACTTGAAAGGAGAGATGGAAATTTTAGGGCTAGAAAGTGAAAGCCCAGCAACTTTTAAAGAAAGCCTATATGAATGAAGGAAAAACAACAGTAGATTTCTCCCTTTACAAAAACCCTGAAATATGTATTCTATTCATAGCCTTTCCCATTGTCCACTTGTTTGCCACACCAGCATCTCAAACACTGTCAACCCGATCTTTAACATATCATTAATATCATTGCCAGGCAGATCAGAAAAGGCATCATGAACATAAATTCATTATTTGCTCCCTTTTTGTTCTTAACGAGCTGTGTTTCAGCATTACTTAATTCCTCCACAGCCTCCGGCAAAGCTCAGAAAAGGAAGTACAATGAGCAAAAAAGGAAACAAAAAAAAAAGAGCCAACAAATTTAGCAGTAATCACTCAATGATATTCCAACAAAGATGTTAAGAAAAATATACACAGTTCCTTAAACTTCTGAAAGAACATTTCTATGAGGTGAGTTAGACCTTGCAGAAAGAATTGAGAATAATGAGTTCAAAGCCAAAGGGTGCATTATATTTAGAGCTATATGATTTATTCAAGGTGTAGAAGTCGAAATCCTCATTTGTATAGTTGACTTTAAAAGCAAACTAGAGGGATAAATCATTAATTTTCAATGTATAAGGTCAGTGTTTGCTGTTCCTGCATTAGTAACAATAAAACCATTGTAATTCCTTAAATATATCAAAGCTACCCGAATTTAAAATGGAATTCCATCCATGACTCATAAAATGTAAATGCAGAGGTGTAATTTTTTACACAAGGCAGGTTTAAGCCTTCAGAGCATTTAATATACAAGGACTAATAAATGATAGCACTAAAAACTATGATCACATCAGCTAAATGGATTATAAATTAAATTTCCATAATGTATGCAACTGAAATACAAATGTAGACATAAATCAAGGTATTTTCTAAACACAGGTTAATTACACAAATTCAAAACCTGTCTATTTTTTATGCAAAATAATCCACTTAGCATTTTTCATACCAGTCTTAAGTCTTAGCCACTTGTAACACTTGATCCTAGAAGCCTATCAATAATTTCATGTCAAGAAAAAACAGCAATAGGTATATTGAAGAAACTTGTATGTTATTTTTCAAGTGTCTGTCTTTTATGAGTGTTTATTGCTAGAAATTGTGCCAAAATGATTTGAAATAAGAAGGATTAATTATAGTAGAAGCTTTTTAATATAAGTGAGTGCAGCTGCAATGCAATTAATGCAAATTGTGACGCTATCAGGAAAATAAATGTGAACAACATCACTGGCTATTTCTGTTTCCTGCCAAGTAACTTCAGTAATTTACTACATTAAGAATCAATAAAAAAATAATGCTTTTCAAATGCATCACTATTAATCTTCAGGTAGTTCCAAAGTGAACATTTATAACTTCATCTAAAAACTATATAAAGCATTTTCAAATAAACTAAATTGTGCAACTTGAGAATAACTTTAAACACTACTTCTCCTAGCTAAGTGATTCCAACATTAAAGACAAAGTATTTTTGGAAACCACGACAAACAAAACGTCCTATTAGTACGGAAAGTCAAACTATCCTAATAAAGCTTAATTTAAAAAATGCACTAAAACTGTGGTAAATAAAGTCATGATAAATTCCAGTTTTTCCAAAAGGGTAAATTATACCATTACAGCTCCAGCACTGTGTAGAGATGCTGAGACATACACTGCGTGATGGAGTATGACAGAACTAGCTGAAACTTTATCTTTCAGTCCGACTTCCTGATCTCTCAGTCAGCATAAACCGATGAAACTGCCTGTTGCTGCCAAAAGTTGTGATTCCACCCGTTCCTGCCTGTGGGACGAACCAAGCCAGCTCGCTGACCTGGGGGAGTCAGGGGTGGGGTGCTGGTTGTTTTCCGTCAAGGCAGACAACTGATCCGACTCACAGCCGTGGGTGAAACCGGAGGGGAACAGCGAGTCCATTTGTTTCAAGGGCAGTGCAGCCTCACACCAACCCGTCAGCCAGGCGCCTCCACCCCGCCGCTGACGCTTCTTATTGCGGCTGAACCAACCTCACGGTTAGCTGCTGCCCAAAGGGGAGATCTGCCCCTTCCGTCTTACAGTTCCCCAAGGCAATTCGCCAGGGATAAGTTACCCGTTTTTTAAGCTTGGTTTTCTGCCTGTCCAACTCTTTGAACTGCCCCTCTGCAGCATCAGCATAAGGGAGAGACAGGAGCCGGCAGTCAGTGATGGGGGAAGCACCCTGCCACAGCCGGCGGACTGACTTAGCTACAGCACGAAGTTGCACCACGAGAATACGCTTACACATGCGCTTTAATGCCGCAGGCCACGCTACCCCAGGGGCAGTCCTCTCTTCTCCTCCACCGAGGAACGATGCTGAGGGCAGGAAGTGCCTTGCTCTTTGAGGGAAGTGACCTTTTCCGTTTGATGGCAAGTCTGAAGCTCCTCTTCACACTACATGTGATCTGCTTGATCACACGTATTACAACATAGACATTAAAAATAAACTCCGATTTGATTCCAAGCGCTCTGGTCTTTGGCAAATGTCCTTCAACTTTTGTGGCCATCACCTATAGGACTAGTGTCATTCTGTGATCAATTTTGACAGCTCGTGTTCCCAACTTTCCTATCTGACCGACCCTTTAATTGACTTCATTTCCTCTATCCTGTAGCTTCATAAATGACAACTCGCACAAAGGAAAAAACATCTAGATCGAAAGTCAGGAAAAGCAATGGAGTAGTCAAATATAAGATTAGATTTCTGGTTTCCAATGTTTAGACAGAAAAACCGTAATGCAGCCTCAATACCTTGGCCTCCTCCGCCGGCTGGGTAACAGCATCCCACCTTCACCCAGCCGCAGTCTGCAGACGCAGCTGTGAGATGGGTAAGGGGCTAGCTGGACGCAGACGGGGAGCCCACATCACGGCAACCAGCCAAGTAAAAAGCAGTGATCCCAGGTGCCCCATTTCCTGTAGTTAAAAGGCTATGGCAGCTTAAAGGGCCAAACTGGATTTCCTAGCGCTATTTCAAACCCAAGGTGTAGGTTAAAGGATGCTCTTAAGGCAAAGCTATAACATTTCTAAGTAACCATCAGAAAAACATAGAATCATAAGCTTCCGAATACACTAAACAAACAAACAAAAACAGCCCTACCTGTTTTTACTAACAAATTAGTTTTTGTACTCTTCCTACTTCTTTCCCGTTGTCTCAAGATGCTATGCTAACAACTACTTTAAAATACAAACAGTTAAAGAAGAAGTTTATTTTGGTTAAAAGGCTTATGGAAGATGAGGTATACAATAAAAGGATCTTCATACACTTTCCTTCTGCCTTGTGTGTGAAGCACGTGGAGCATAACAGAAAATTAAAGAAAAAAGAAAACTAAAACAAAATGAAAAGCCTACTGTCATAAAGACATTTTGATTTCACGCTCACAGCCTGCAGTCTCTCTTGTTTCTCTTTTAAATCACATTAGTTACTTGTAATTACAATAAGACATCTAAATATAGTCTACCTAACTACAGTTGATGGCATCACAGATTAGCTACCGAGTTCAACAACATGGGTCTCAGTTTGGTAATCTAAACCATAAAATAAATAATATGTCCAACTACTTATACTGAATGCATTCTTTAAACATGCATGACGTGGGGGGACAAGAAGTGGTCCTCTAAGGCAGACAGACAAAACTTTCAGAATGTGGGCATGCAATTAATAGCTTTAATAGGTTATGGAAAAACACATCGTTTGGAAGGACAGCTCTACTCAGTACGTAGTAAGACAGAAGAAAAATGAAACGAGCAGTTCTCAAGGCAAGGAGGTTGTTTTGCCCGTATTCAACACGATGAGAACACTATCTGACTGGAATGATATATGGTATCTATCATAATACTATTTAAGACTATGTGGTCACATGAGATACTGTTCAGGCATGACCCAAAGGTTTATGAAACA